AGCATAAATGGACAGGGCAGAGGGGAGTGAGCCCCCAGGTGGGGAAGTGGCAGCATTCCCTGGTCTTCATGTGTGACCATCCCATCCCCCCATGCTCCCATCTTGGTGGAATGGAAAAGCAAGTCAGTCCAATTGTCAGCGGATGCTGAATTTCCAGCCAAGAGGTTTAGCCTGAACAGGGGAGGACAGAGGAAGTGCTCAGTGTGTGTGCAGCAGACGCAGATCACCAAGATCAGACTTCAATATGCAGGGCAAAGGCAACAGCAGACCCAGGGACCCAGTCCTCCTGGGTCAGGGCTGTAACGATCCCCAGCCGGGCCCTCCTGGGGGCTGAGGAGCTGCGGCCAGAGAGGCAAGCCTGGGTCCCGCAGCAAACCAGAGGCTGCATCAGGACCAGAGACCCAGTTCTCCCGACAAGCAGCCCAATGTCCTCTCGTGACACCTGCGCCCTGTAAATCTACTGGGAAGGAAATGCTCCCCCGCCCCCCGCCCCTTCCTCTCTTCCAGGTGGAAGAACATGAAGAGTCCTAGTTCAGGAAACGCCATCTCAGAACACAGTAAGAGAAGGCCACGGGGCTGAGTGGACAAAGGCGTGCTCCCTCCTCTGAGAGCTCAGGTTTGGGAGGGTGGGGGAAGGACGGCTGTGACAAAGGACGGGCAGAGCCTCAGCCGGGGCTGTTTCTTTAGGAGGCTGCTTAAGCCCAGCAGGAGGTCAGGGTGGGGTGGCCCCTCACCTGGTGGTACCCTGTACAGGTGACGAGCTTCCGCGACTCGGGGAGGAACTGTATGTCCTGGTCCCAGATGGGAACTCGCAGGTCAAGCCAGTCATTCCGTACCTGGGGGAGCGGGTCAATGGGGGACAGGGCTGTGGCGAGCTAGTGTGCCCCTTCCTGTCCCCCTCCGTCATCATCCCCGAAAGCCCATCTGGTCTCTGACCCATGGTCAGCGGCCCCAGCCTCCCTGGGTCCGAGGTCACTCACGTTCTTGGCTCTGAACACAGGCTCCTCAGACCCCTGCAGGTCCCACACCTTCAAAGCATTCTCCTTCCCACCTGTGGCGACCACGTGGGGCTGCGCTGGGTCTTGGCGCATCCTACACACCCCAGGGCCCACCCTCAGTTCCAGGACCTGAGAAGAATGAGAGATGAGAGGGGAAATGAGAGTCAATTCCTGGATCCCTAATCCTCCTCCCCCAAAGCCCTCATTCAACTCCTACCCTGGCTCCCACCTTCCCCAACCACGAGGATCAGGGCAGGGGGGCCTCACTGGGTCGGAGGAGGTCTCCTTGTCGTTGTCACCCCAGACTCGGAGAACCCCGGAATCCACACACGTGATGAGGGTGCTGCAGGGAGAGGAAGGACAGAGTCAGGGTTAAAAAAAAAGTGTGAAAATATTCTCTAAGCCCAGTCGACCCACCCCCACCTGCTCTCCTCCTCAGAAAGCCTCCGGGTAACGTGCACCTGGACAGTGTTTGGCTTCAGTGTATATTATTTCATTTCCTTGACAGAGTGAGGTTTTAAAATATATACTTTATTGACTTTTCACAGAGAGGAAGGGAGAGGGACAGAGAGCTAGAAACATCCGTGAGAGAGAAACATCGATCAGCTGCCTCCTGCGCACCCCCCACTGGAGATGTGCCCACAACCAAGGCACATGCCCTTGACCGGAATCGAACCCAAGACCCCTCAGTCCACAGCCCGCCGCTCTTTCCACGGAGCCAAACCGGTCAGGGCCAGAGTGAGGTTTTGTAAGCGAAGAAACGGAGGCTCTGAGCCATGAAAAGGTTTGCCCACTCCGCAAATGTCAGAACCAGAAATCAAGTCTGTGATACCCCAAAGCAAAGTGCCTTTGTAACCCACAGCTACGTCTAGGGGCGCCTGGCCCTGCCGGTCTGAACCTTTCTCCGGTCACCAGGGGCCAGGATGAGTACCTCTGAAGGGACTGAAATGGCACCGGTCGGGAGTTAGGGTTTGGCCAAAGTCAAACACCAGCTTCAGTTCCCTGTCCGGGCTCCACGTGCTCACTGTCAGCCTCCCCCACAGTGTCCTCCCCGCAAGGAGCCCAGGCGAGTCTCCCCCTAGAAGCCGCCAGCCCCAGCCTATGCTGTTCCTCACATTGCCCACCCTCTCCACCTTGGTTCAGGGTCTGTATCGCCTGCCTGGGCTGTAGCAATAGTCTCCCCACTGCTCTCTCCCCAGTTCATCCTCCACACCCCTACAGGCTCACAGCTTGGGCCACAGCACTGCTGCTCAAAAACCAGTAACTCCCCACCTCCTACAAGACAAAAACGGCACGTACAGCCCCCTACAATGAATCCCACCCTACCTTGCCCATCTCGTGTTAAAATGCTTCCTCCGCGTCCACCCCCCCAAATGCAATGTATCTTCCCTGCAAGGTACCCTGTGGCCGGACACCAATCCTTGGCCTCTGCCCAGGCAGTAGCCTCTTTCTAAAATGCCCTCACCCCTCTCTCCACTGTCAACATCTTACCAATCCTTCAAGGCCTGCCTTAAGCTTCTCACTCCCCCGGCCTCCTAGACCTCACCTGCCAGAATTAGAGCCACCAAACCCACACAGCCTGCCCGCAACCGCCTCCTCTTTTAGGAAGAGAGCGAGGCAGTTACTAGTCGCCAGCACTTTCCTCCTAACTTTCCTTTGGGAGCTTCCTCACACTGAGTGACTGTCAGTCCCCAGCTAAAGGCATCCTCTAAACTATGAACTGGCTTGCTCAGGGTCACCCAAAGGTTATGGAATCAGGAGAAAATCCCTCGGGGTGCACACGGTGTAACAGTACGTACTGTGCGTGTCTGGGTTACCGCAGCCCTCGCATTCTGCAATGCCTGGCGCTCGGCAGGGGTTCAATAAACGCTCGTTACAGGCATGAACGCAGGAAGGCAGGACACACGCCCCCGTCTCCGAGGCCAGGTCCGAGCCCCCTAAGGGTTGATGGCCATTCCTCGGCCGTCCCACGGGAGCCTCTGCGCTCTCCCTACCCGTTCGGCGTGGGGCTGGGCTTACCCGTCCGCCTGGGCGAGGCCTCGGAACGTGCCCTCCCCGCCGGGGCAGTGCCTCTGGCCCCGGAATCTGCCCTCCTCGATGCTGAAGTGCCTCACTGTCCGGTCGGCACAGCCCATCAGGATCTGCGGGCAGAGGAGGGCAGGAGGGATGGAGGGCGGGATGGCGAGGACCGCGAGGCTGCCGGCCCCCCGGCCCCGGCCAGGCCCCGGCCTCTCACCTGGGCCCCCCCGTCCGCGCCCCAGCATAGGGCGCTCACCGCCTCCTCGCGCCGGGGCTGTCCCGCCGCCGTGAAGTTGGCCGCCTGTTTGCGCCGAAGGTTCACCCCTGCGGGACGCGGGCGTCAGTCACGTGGGGCGGGGGGCGTCGGGGCAGCGCGGCTTCCGGGCGTTTAAAGGGCTGGCAGAGTATTCGCCGCCCGCCGGCTCCCTCCGGTATTGCAACACGAAGTCAAAAGGTAGAGATTTGTGGAGATCTGAGGAGCAACTTGCTCCAAATTTTCATTCGCAGCGGATCTCATCCTAAGCGGACCGCGATGCCGGGCGAGCCCGCTCCAGCCGCCTCCCTGCCCCCAGCAGCGTGGCATGTTTTTTTTCTGCTGCCGACATGATTCAAATCACTATTGTAATAGACGCTTGGTTTCAAACTCGAGTATAAAAGACACAAAACAAAGACGGGGGCAATGAAACCGACGACCCTAAAACAGATCTGTGTTTTGGGAAATGAACATAGGACGTCATTTTTATTCCCTCACATTGAGGTTTGGTGATGGCAAAAACTAGCTCAGAGTAAACATCGGCAAGTTAATAGAAACAGCACTCCTCCCAAGGACCAGCTGCAATGTCATAAGGGCCCCTTTCTTTGCGTGATTGTTTTCTTACTGAGAAATAGTCTTCTTCTCTGAAATCATAGACGCTCAGAAACGTTGCTGTCGGAAATTATATCAGTAAGAAGAAAGCATCCCCCTCTTGCCTGGCAGATTGTCTTCCACGGAAGAGCAGCCTTATCAGCGCAGCTGCAGAGCTGCCGATAGGAATTCTGAGCATAACGTTCCACATTTACTTTTGTATTGTTACCAAGGAAACGGCCCCCTGGGTACACTCCACAGCCCGGACCCGATGTTGACTTCTTTGCACACAGTTCTACTCTGTATTGAGCCTATCAGAACAAACGCCATCTTTC